AGCACACACACACTGCCTCCTGTCAACCCAGATAACTGATGCCCATGGAGCTGTCTTCCCATCCCTGGCCTTCTCACTCCCAGGCTCTCACTTGGCTGCCCTCTGATTCATGAGACTCCCTGGTTTGGGACTTTATGAGAACAGCCTGATGCCCACACAGACCCCTTCCCTCCCCTGCTGCAACCCCCTCACCCTCCCCAAAGCTGCAGGCCCTGGCCCAGCTGGGGGCGGCCCCAGGATTTGGATGGGTGACTCAGGCTGAATCATGGCCCAGCTGCTCCTTGGCAGCCCCCTCCCCCATTCTGCCCAGAAAGCCTATTTGGAAGGCAAAGGTGGGCCTTGGAGTGGGGGGCAGGGAGCGGGGGATGGGGCACTTGAGAAGGAGGACAAAGCACAAGAGAGCCTTTCAGGAAGCCCTCACCCTGACCCTCATTCTGCCAGGAAAAGGTGTCCTTTGTTTGGACTGAGACCAGGGGCTCCCTCTCCAATACCAGGGCCCATTTTGGCTTGCCTCCTCAATGTCTGGGTTCTAATAATAACAGCAACAATAACACTGTTCACTACTCTAGTTGATCACTCACATTTCACAGTAGTGCAGTTTATAAAGCTCTTTCTCATCAGCATCACATTTAATTCTCCTACTGGTCTTAGGGGGTGGAAATTAGCATCTTTACTTTGGAGCGGAGGAAACTGAGGCTCAGAGAAATATATGAAATGACCAGTGTCACACAGTTAGTGAGATGACTGAGCCAGGATGAAAGCCCAGCCCTCTGGTCCATTCTGTGGGAAGTAAGCCCTGGAGCTGTGATTCGGGCAAAGTTAGGGCACGGTTGGGGGGCATGCAGGGTAATATGGCGATTGCTAGGAGGAAGACATGGTGGGGGTACTACAGGGGCATGACGGGGACATGGCTGGGCATCAAAGGTGCATAGTAGTGTCGCATGGTTGAGCCATGGCAGGGCCATGGCAAGGGCATTGGAGGTATGTGAGAAGGGATGGCAGAGGTATCCCTGGCAGCAGGGTTTGTGGCAGAGATGTAGAAACATTTTTCCTTTACGTTCTTGCAATTCATGAATTATGGAATTATTTATGCTTTCAAACCTTTCATGTTTCAAACTAATATATCAAGACTAACAAATGTAGAGCCTGGAGTTTCTTCTGAGAAAGCGTTGGTTGTGAGGACCTTTGCTTCCTGAAGCCTCAGTTTCCCCATCTGAAAACAATGGGTCCAGTCCTGTGGTAGGATAGAGGCTATTAAGAGGCACGAGTGAAGCCACTCTCATCAGGCGCTTGAGAAGCTGTGAACGACTCCACAAAGGACTGCTGGTTCTCACATTTTGTTTCATCCTTTTAAGAAACACTTGTGGGTGCTGGGCAGAGGGCTGAGTGGGCTTCTGGGAGCCAGGGGGCGGTGCTGCGGGGGGAGTGGGTGACATCTCTTCCTTTCCCCCTGCCTGGCTCCGTCTGGCCTTCCCCCACCCTCAGCCCAGAGCCCGTTTCTAGGCAACAGAATGGATGCAGGGATGGTTCGGAGGGGAGAGAGCTATAAATAGGGAAGGGAGAAAACAAAAATAAAGTTCCAGAGAAAGCCGGGAAGCTGCATTACTGGGGGATGGGGGTGGGGAGACGGGGGAAGACAGACAATGGCAGGGATGCAGGGATGACCCCCAGCCCCCCATTATTTTCTGCTTAGCTGCCCAGCAAGGGTCCAGAGAGGGCTGATGTGGGTGGGAAGGGGGACTCTGTATGCACAGCTGAGCAGAATGTACTTCTGGTCAGAGGAGTAGGAAAGCTCAGAAGATGGAAGCATTTCATCAGGCACGGTTGAGGGCAGCTTGTCTGGATGCGGGAAAGAGCCCAGGCAAAGGAGGAGACAGCACAGGCCAGGAGGGGTGGGGCTGGTGCAGGATCTCAGATATCCGGAGGCCTGGCAGGGTGAGCCTTGCTGACCACACTCCCTCTATGCACATGCCCAGGCACAGGGGTGGGCACTTTCTCTGGTGTGCAATGCTGGCTGTGCCCAAACCACCTCTTTTCATTCAGGTTTTAGCTCCACCTCACCTCCTCAGACACCTGACCCAGCCCCCTCCCTGTAACTTTCTATCACATGGCTCCCTTTTATGTGCTTCATAAAACTAGAAATTATCTTGTTGATTGTTTTGTGATCTCTGGGAGGTGAATTGTCAGAGCATTGACCTGCAGGGCTATTCCCTGAAGTTCCTCACTTCTAAGAGGAGAACAAGTGTGTAAACACACTATTGGAAGAATAAATGAACTCAGCACACACGGGCAACATCCATGTACACACACGAACACAGATGCAGACATAGTGCAAATGCATGTCCATATCTCAGTTGTAAGTGTGAACACCCCACTAACTCACACAGTGTTGCTCCTGGGTTCCATGACATTGCACAAGTGTCTGTAATCTCCACATTGATGCTTCTCTGCATTTTCCTATTGGTTTTCATTTGTTTGTTTCTCCACAAAGCCAAAGAAAGCCCATTTTGGAAAGGTGTTAGGCTTTGGATTCAGGTTTGGGGCTCAATATTTCTTTTGCCACTTCCCAGCAAGATGACCAGGACATGTGGTTTTACCTCTCTGAGCTCCATTTCCTCATTCACAAATTGGGGCAAATAACAAAGAAGCCTTGAAGCTGGCTTCAAGTGAAATTAATGGAGTTAAGGACCACATGCCTGGGCCCTTGGGAAATGATTTTGTGCCTGTCACATGAGAGGAGACCATGATCTGTGTGGGCTCACACACACATACACACACAGCCAGGACTGCCTTCTGACACGGGCCTGGCATCCTCTGCTGATGCTTCTGGACTTGTGCCTGGAATGCATTTAAAGTAACCCTGGCAGACGAGAACATTGGTCTCTGAGCAGAACCATTCTCAGTAGGACCAGGTGTAGGTAGGGGTTGGCGCCCGGGAATGAGGAATAAATTTCCCCACAGACCAGATGGTGAATACGGTTTTGTCATCTAAAAATGGGGATCAGGTGCTGGTCGCTGGATCAGAGGTTGCAAACTTCTTTAGAGGCCAAGCTGTTCATGAAAATAGAGGATAGGAGTAATACAATAAGGAAAGGACTATGGCAAAATGGAAAAGGTGTGCTCAACCCAAAGATATTCTTTCTTTCTATCTATCTATGTATCTATCTATTTATTTATTTATTTTTGGTACTGGGGATTGACCAGGGGCGCTTAACCAATGATCTACATCCCCAGTTCTTTTCATTTTTTGAGACGGGGCCTCACTAAGTTGCTTAGGGTCTTGCTAAATTGCTGAAGCTGGCCTAGAACTTTCAATCCTCCTGCCTCAGCCTCTCTAGTCTCTGACATTACAGGCACACCACCGTGCCCAGCAGATACTCAAATTTTTAAAGTTTAAAACCTTGTGCTAGCAAATTAAACATAGCTAGAGGCCAAATTCAACCAAGGGCCACAAGTTTGCAATCCCCTAGGACTGTGGGTTGTAAGTAATGTCTTAATTCAGCCCAAAGGGATTTGAGCTCCTCCTTGCACCCTCACGAGAATCACAAAATCCAAGGCCACCAGTTTGTTCTACACACACACACACACACACACCCTCCGTCTGTCAGATGCCTCCTGCCTCAGGGCATAAAGGCCCCTACATAGCAGACCAAGGTGACGGGAGCAGACTGGTCTCCAGCTTCATGACCTTCCCAGGTTTGACTTTGCCTCTCGCCTGCAATAACTCAGGTAGGAAGAGACGCTAATACTTCGGACTTATTGAATAAATCAAGCTTGCAGTTTTGCAGCTGGAGGGTAAGGCTTGGGCTTCGGCTAGAAACAGGGATCTACTAAAGCATAAAAATGGGCGGGGTGCGCAGTCAAGGTTGCGGGCCTCTGCGGCAAAGCCGAGCAGGCTCCCGCACACTGGGGGTGGAGCCTCTGCAGGACGCGGTGGGGCCTGTACAGCAAAAGAGGGCAGGGGCGATGCACTGATGGGGGCGAGGCCTAGGAACGGCAGTTTTTGCGCCAATAAAGACTGGGCTCTCGTGCTGGCGGGGGCGGAGCCTCTGCGCAGAACCCGCAGTATCTCCATCCCCTTCTATTTCACTCTGAGGCGGTGTTTGGGGCCCCCTAGTGCCGGTCCTGACCGGCGAGGGCTCCCGGACCGCTTTCCTACATTTCTATCGAGGCTCGCACTCTTCAGCTGAAACCTCAAAATTTTCAGGCGCCCTTCTAGGAGGGATGGAGACCGGAGCTCTGTCCCCTTCTGGGGGACAATGGCTCTTTCCCGCCTGCTTAGGGATTTTGTTTTTGTTTTTCTGCTTTGGGCAGGTGAGAGCAGGGCTGTGTGCGCATTAACATGTCTCTGTGTCTGCGCTGCTGGTTTCCGAAGGTTTCTGCGTGGCTCGTATCCAGCTGCGAGAGCACACGCGTGTCTCCACGTGCGGCTGCCTAGGGTTCGTACTCTCGGGTTCAGTGCAGGCACCGGGCACGTGCACGCTGGTCTGCGCGAGCGTGCGCATCCGCGCACCCGCGCTGCCTCTGCGGCGTGGAGCTCCCCTTGACCCCGCACCTCAGAAAGCTCTTTACAGCCCAGCAGGTGGCGCCCCAAACCACTTTCCTATCTCACAGTCCACTGCTTGTCTCAGACCTGTGGGGTCCCCTTTCCCCGGCCAGGTCACGGGCGGGAGACGGAGAAGCCAAGGTCTCAGGTGGTCAGCTTCGTGGGCTAAGCGTACTAGACTCCACCGAGTGAAGAGCAGCCTGGAAATCTGAAGCCCATCTGCCTCTGCCCCCCACAACTCCCAGCCCAACCCTGCCCTTGCGGCGCTGGCTATAGACAGATTGGCTTTATTCATGGACACACGGGGGGGGGGGCGGCCGCGCCTGCCCGCCCGGGACACGCTCACACGGTGGGGTGGGGGACTTTCCATGCCACAATCACAACACATGACGCCCGCGCTCGGACCGGGCCGGCTGGGGGAGGGGGCATGGCACAGCCTGGCTCCTGGTTTTGGTTTAAAAAAAAAAAAAAAAAGTTCTTGGTGTGATGTGGGAGTAGGGTGGGGTGCTCTGGGGCTGCCCGGAGGTCCCTCGGAGAGCCTCTTTCAGGGTGGGAGAGGAGCGGTCGCTTTCCTATTTTTGTTTAAAAATACATAAAACATGCGACATCCACGCAGACACCAGACGGGAGGGGCAGGAAGGGGCAACACTGGTGAGGAGAGACTCTCAGCCACAGCTGCAGCCCCAGCCCCAGCCGGGTTCACGCCCCAGGGTTGGACGCGGGCAGGTAGGACAGACAGACAGACACAAACACAGGCTCTGAGAGGGCTCCTCAGAGCAGAAGGAAGATCTCGTGTTTTGGGGGACGGGGTAGAGGGACAGCCCTGGTTCTGGGGGGCGGGCAGGGACAAGGAAAGAATTGTGCTGCTGGTGGGGGGCCGTTCTGGACCCTTACGCCTCTGGCTCATACTCCTGATATTCCTCCTGCATCAGAGAGTTGGGGGTGGAGTAGAGAAGAGCAAATGGGAGAAGGGGTTGGAGACCAAGTGGCCAAACTTTGGCCCCCAGATCCCCACCCCTCGAGGAGGAACAATGCATGCGCCTCCCCCTGGCCAAGGGAGGAACCCCAAGTAGGGGATAACTGGGTAGTCCTAGGCAGGGGTTGCCTGGAGCTCAATGCTAGGCCCCATCTGACCTCCCCTCCCTGCTCCCACCTCCTGCAGCCTGGGTTCTAAAAGAGGCAAAGGCTGAAGCCCCCTGGCCCAACCTTATCATGCCAGTAACCACCCACCCCAGTTAGGGATGGCAGCAATCATCCTGGATGCCCAAGGCCCCGCCTGACCCTATCACCCCCTCACCTGAGGTGGTTCCTCATAATTCTCCCCCTCTGGCTCCGTCAGGGGCTCAATCAGCGGCTCCTCAGCAGCTTCTTGGGCCACTTCCTCTGGCTGAGGGCAGAAAAGGGTAGGGCTGGTGAGGGCAGCCAGGAGACCCCTAAAATCCTATGCTGGAAGAATGGGGAAGGCTACGTGGGGTTGGCAGTGCAAGGAGAATTTTTAATTAAATTGTTTATTTGGAGCAACTTAGAAGTAGGGTGGAGGTGTGAAGGGTGAAATCCCTTCAAATCATGGCTTGAAGCTGAGAGTGTGGAGGGGGTGCTAGACTCTCTGCACCCCTCCCTCCAGCACTTGGCAGCCTCTTCCATATCTATCATTTGGACTGGGTGGGGTAGGGGGATAGACAGCACACCAAGTCACCCATTTATCCCTAGCTCCTTTGTGTCTGGCTCTGAGCCAGATGGGGAACTCAGACAGAACCCTGGAGACTCCCCTCCAGGGTGGAAGGGAGATGGAGACTCAGGGACAGGGCTAAGTAGGGGCTCTGAGCCATTCCCCTGCCACCTTCCATCATCCCTCCCCCAGGGCCAAGCGCGGCCTGATTTCTTCGCTGTTGCTATTTTAAGATAAGCTGGAAGCAACAGCTCATGGTGTTGCTTGGATGTGTGAGCTAAGACTCTCCCCTCCCCCCTGCATCTGCTGCCCAGATGGGCACAGACCAGCGGGAATGCATGTGGGGGGCTGCTAGGCACATGGCTGGCCTCCTGCAGGTGAGTACATGTATGTGCACACACAACAACTGAGGGAACCTGCGTGGCTTTACAAAACCCTATGTGGGCTAGCACACAGCTGGGACCCTCAGTTGGCCCTGAGATGTTGGCACTCTAATTGCTCTAGCACTATCTAGGTGGCTTCACTCCTTTCTAGTACCTGTTTAGGTGGACCCTGTGGGTATATGAGGTTTTAGATCCTGACCTGGCTTATTCTTCCTATTGTAGAGATGGGTATACCAAGGCCCAGGAGGTAGGGAAATGTTAGTTTGCCCCAAGTTACCCAGCTCTGACCAGAAAGAATCCAGGTGAAAACTACAGTGTTAAAAATACCAGGGCTGGGGATATCCTCAGTTGGTAGAGTGCTTGCCTCACATGCACAAGGCCCTGGGTTCTATCCCAATCAGCACACACACAAAAGAAAGAGAGAGAGAGAGAGAGAGAGAGAGAGAGAGAGAGAGAGAGAGAGAGGGAGAAAGAAAGAGCCAGCTTGAGCACATTGTTTGGAAACAACCAAAATGTGTAACAAACAGCAGAATGGACATGTACACTGTGGTCCAATCACACAGTGGAATAGTACACAACAAGAATGAAGAATGAGCCAGGCATGGTGGCACACGCCTGTAATCCCAGTGGCTTGGGAGGCTAAGGCAGAAGGATCTTGTGTTCAAAGCCAGCCTCAGCAACATCGAGGCACTGAGCAACTCAGTGAGGCTCTGTGTCTAAATAAAATACAAAATAGGGCTGGGGATGTGGCTCAGTGGTTGAGTGACCCTGAGTTCAATCCCTGGTACCTGCCTCCCTCAAAAAAAAAAAAAAAGAATGAATGAAGAATGACGGCACCTCTAAGAGCAGGGCTAGATCTCAAGAACTTCTCGTTGAATGAAAGAAGCCAGATACAGAAGAGCATGCACTTTATGATACTGAAGTGGAGTTTAAAAACACCACAACTAATTTGTGGTGACAGAAGTCAGGAAGTGTGAACCCCTGGAGGGGGTTAGGTAGGGCCAGGACTGGGGTAAGATAAGTGAGGTGCATAGGGTGAGTGTTAGGGAGGCACTCGCTCCCAGAATCCTGCAAAGGAGACCCTATGTGTGAGTGCCCCCACACCTCCCTTGCCTCACCCTAGTCTCGGCCGTAGGGGTAGGGACTTGGAAGGGAGCACAATAGGAGGGGCTGGGGGTGCTGATATTCTGTGTCTTGAGCTGGCTGCTGATCATTATGGGGACATTCCTTTTCTGAAAATTTCATGGAGTTGCGTGTATGTTGTTCTTCAATAAAAAGTCATTTAAGGGCTGGGGGTTTAGCTCAGTGGTAGAGCATATGTGTTCAGCATTAGTGAGGCCCTGGTTTTGATCCCCTGTAACCCCCGCCCCAGTCACATAAAAACACATCCCAGCCTGGCCTCACTAGCGATTTGGAATTAGACAAGTCATTTCACCTCTAATCACAGCAGCCTGGGGTGGGAAGGAGGATGCCGTGTGCCTTGAAGGAATACGGCGAGGACTTCATGGTCACGTAGGAAAAGCATGTTGGAAGCTGGAGACTCAGAAATGCTGACCCTGAGCTTAAACAGGTTCCCCCACCCCAGGGAGCCTCAAAGAGCTGCTGTTTGGATCATGACCCTGATCTTCACCTCCCTGAGAAAGCAGCCTTGATGTGTCCACAGGCACCAGTGGGAGAAAGGTGGCTGGAGAGATGATTCTGTGCAAAGACCTTTCACAAAAAGCCTAGAGGCCAACAGGTCAGGCCCCCATCTGCCTCTCTCTGCACCTCAGCACCCAGCACACACCCTGGTCCTGGGCCAGCACCTGAGCGTATCCTCCCAACCACCTCATAAAGGAAGTGGGCAGGAACTGGGATGTTGGGCAAGTCCCTTCACCTTTCTGAGTCTCAGTTCCTCCAGCTATAAAATGGGCTAGTTTGGTACCTTCCTCAAAGGGACATGGTGAAGATTTGGTAAGTCACTCCGTGTTAATGTCTAGTGATCAATGAATGGGAGCAATTAGTGCTAACATAATTATTGGAAATGGGACATGAGTTCCCATTTACAGATGGTAAATGCAGAAAAAGAACTTGAAACTTGAACTTCTGAGCTAAGACCCAGACTTCTAACAAAGGAAGGAACCAACTGTGCAAAATGTCTGGAGTCGGGGGTGTATGGGGTCTCCCCAGCCCGATGGGTATGGTCACAGAATACATACTGATCACCCAGCCCAACATTGAACAAAGAGCCCGACGCCTACAGCCACGGATACACAGGGACACCCACAGGAGGGATGTAGGTATACACGTGGTTAGGACCACAGGGCACACTGTCATGGGCACACTTCTCTGCACACCTGTGATGCCATGATCTCCTGCAGGTAGACAGCCACTGTTTACCTGACCATGACTGGGCACTTGCTATATGGAAGCCAGGCTCTCTTTATCTCAATGGTTCTCAAAGTGTGGTCCTTAAAACTGTAGCATCAGCATCAAGGGCAAATTCTCAGGCCCCACCTCAGATCTACTGAACCAGAAATTCTAGAGATGGGGCCAACCCTATGTATTTTCATCTGGCCTCCTATGATTCTGTGCATGTTTGAGTTTAAGAATCTCTGATCTATATTATCCCAAATTTACCTAAGAGTACTATTGGGTTTGTTTTCCATGTTGCAGGCAGATAATGAGGCTCAGAGATATGATAGGACCCATCCAGGGCCACAGAGCCTGGAAGTAGTGGATCTGGGATTTGAACCCAGTTCCACGGGGCTCAGGAGCTCACCACTCTTTCCTTATGGGGTGTCTTAATGAAGTCTTCTGTCTCCATTCATACACGAGTAGCCACCACCACTCTACTGAGGAAGCATATGTGCACAAATGTGTGACAGACAGGTCATACCACTCTGACGCCATCATGGCTCACACTTGCCTCACTGCTTCTATCTGCCTGAAATATAATTCCTGCACATCTTCTTTCTCCTCCCTTGGGTGCCAGCTCAAACGTCATCTTCTCAGAGATATTGAGAAGATATCTTCCCTCCTCAAGTAGCCCTCTCTTCTCTTGATTCTATATCATCACCCACATCATCTTTTCTTTTTCCTTGTGGAGGTACTGGGGATTTAACCAGGGTCAATTTACCATGAGCTACATCCATTATTTCAAGACAGGTTCTCACTAAGTTGCTTAGGGCCTCACTAGGTTGCTGAGGCTGGCCTTGAACTTGTGATCCTTCTATCTCAGCCTGCTGAACTGTTGGGATTACAGGCATGTGCCATCCATGTTGTCTTTTCTTCATAGCACTTATCCTGTCTGAAATCACCTTATTTATGGACTTGGGTTTTACTGTCTTCTCCTGCTACAACATCAGCTGCACAAATGGAGGAACCCTTTCACATGGGAACCTCTAGAACAATTCCATGGATTTTTGTTCCATGAAAAGAAATGAATGAACAGTCAGTGGCCCAGGCAGATGTAGCCAGAAGTGGTCTGGATCACACTGGCAAGCAGGGGACACCCAGCCAGCTACATCCATGGATGCAATGCACCCATGTAGACCTTCGGACTTCATTCCTAGCTGAGCCTAGTGTAGTCTTACAGAACAGGAGACAAAGACACTTGTTCCCCAGGTTAGCAGGGGCAAAGGGGAACGTGGTGGCGGGTTTATTTGTGTGCCTTGTGTGTGTGAGAGAGAAAGAGAAAGAGAGAGAGGGGGGCGGGGGGAGGGAGGATCACTCACCTTCAGGTCCGTGGGGAACTCCTCCTTCTTCACCAGGCCTGTGGCTGCTGCGATGTTCCCAGCCCCAGAGAACACAGCTCCTCCCAGATGTGATGCCTGCTCCTTGGTTTTCTCAGCCACTGGAGCAGGGAGGGGGTGAGGAAGGGATTTGGGGGCCAGGGTGAAGGAGGCATAGATGTCCCCACACAATATCCCAGGGCATGCCCTTCCCAGGGAGCACCCCTCACAGAAGCTTTGGGAGTCCCCTTCTGCCCTCTGTACCCCAGCCAGATCACAGGCTGGGTGAGGGAAGGGGCTGTGCCAGAGCTGGATGGGTACCTGAGGCCACACCTTGTACTACCCCCTCTCGGGTCTTGCTTCCTGCAGGGAGGAAAAAGAACACATTTAAGGAGTCTCAATGAGAAAACAGAAGCCAGCAGAGCACATGGTGGACAGGGGGACCCAGGTGATAGAGAGTACCTCCATCCCACTATTTGCTTTCTTGGGTCCCCATTTCCCCCATGCTAACCACACTGAGCCCTCCATACCTACTTTCTCAGGTTTCCCAGTCCCACCTCACTTCCACCACCTTCCCAGGGGATGTTGGTTGAGTGCCAGCACTGTGGAAAGCATGTGACTTGCACCCTTTCATGCATTACTCTCCCTAGCCCTGGGAGGGGGACGCTGTTGTCCCTATTTCACAAGATGGGAACGAATTTAGTCAGGGCCCTGTAACCAATAAGTGACTGAGTCCTATGGGCCTTTCTGACTCTAAAACTCCTGCTACCCACTCTGTTCTGTAAATATTTTAGCCCAGGATGGAGGCAGGTGGAGCTGGGGGACTATGAGTTTTGAAAAGTGTCCCTGGTACCCCTGATGTAAGACTGCTCATGTTCCACTGCCTCCAACTCCATTTCTTCTAGACTCTTTCTTCCTATCAAGGGTCAAAGCCCTCCTTCTGGCCAAAATGGGGAGTCTTAGGCGCAGGGTGGTTCTAAAGGTAATATGCATATTGTGACTGGCCGTGCCTTCCCAGGAGGGCAGCAACTTGGTCACATCAAAATAGGGGGTGGGCACTGGGAAAGGTAAGAAGGCCTGATCTGCTGCAAGGGTCCTACAGGGAGAGAGTGGGGTGTGTTTCATGCTGAGAATTTAGCAACCCAGACAACCACTGATAAATTCAGAAATGGGCATCTGGGCAGGCTGAGGCATGTGGGGAGAGAAGCAGGGGTCCACATGGGAAGACGGGTTCTCAGGGCTAAGGTCCTCTGGAATCAGGAGATGCAGAGCATGGGCTACATGCCCACCCCTCATTCCTCCCACAAGTGCCTGGTTTGCACATGCTCTGAGCCAGGCAGTGGGCTAGCGGCTCACTGTCTGAGGAAGTAAGAGAAGAGCATGTTCAATTTCTCAACCTCAAGTAGTGGTGAGAGGGTCTCCAGCCTCCAGGGGTTGTGTGAAGTGGGAGGGGACACTACCTGGACCTTGAGAAATGACTGAACAGGTGGATATTCAGGAAGGAGATTGGAGAGAGTGATCCAGGCTCAGGGAACCATGCAGGCAAGACTCAGGGAGGCATGATTTAGTCCTCATGCTAGGAGCAATGGGTATGGTGAGAGGCAAAGCTGGAAAGGTAAACTGAGGCAGGATAATGAAGAGCATTGGGATGCCAGGTGCCAGGGAGCTGAGCTGAGGCTTTAATGTGTGAGGACTGGGCTTCATGGGGGGCTTCTGGGCAGGGGGAGGAACAGAAGTTACCAATCTAAGAAGAAGGGCAGCATGGCTTGGGGGGATGTCTATTTGCAGAGAGAATAGTGCGAGGGGTCAATAGGAGTGAAAGGACTGGGGAAGAGGCAGAAGGGAGGCCAGAGCTCAAGCCTTTTCCTTGTCTCCGTCGCCACTGCCACACTCATTTGGTGGCTACCCTACTTCTTAGTGGGCTTCCCTGTAATTTGTTCCATCCCCAGGGGCCTGAGAGGCCTTTCTAATCTGAAGTCAGATCATGTCAGTCTCTTGCTTACAATCTCTCCCCACACTTACAATTAACCACCAGGCCACCTCCCCAGGCCTTTTTAATATTTTATTTAGAGACAGAGTCTCTAAATAAAAGTTGCTTAGGGGCTCATTGCTGAGGCTGGCTTTGAACTCATAATGTTCCTGCCTCAGCCTCCTGAGCCACTGGGATTACAGGCGTGCTCCAAGATGCACGGTGTCTTGGTCCTCTTTGAACTGACTCTCATCCACAAACTTGACCTTATCTCCTATCACTGCTTCCTGCCCTTGGCTTTCCAGACCATCCCACTTGCCTTTTCTGTCTCCCCTGTTCTCCACTTGGCTCTTTATTATGAAGGGCTCAGCTCAAATGTCATCTCCTCTTTTTATCTTATCCAAAAAATGAACCTAACCAGGTGTGTGGTAGCACATGTGTATAATCCCAGCTACTTGGGAGGCTGAGGCAAGAGGATAGCAAGTTTGAGGCTGGCCTTTGTAATTTAGCAAGACCTTGTCTCAAAAAATTGAAAGGGTCGGGGTGAAGTTCAATGATAGAATGCCCTTGGGTTCAATCTAGTACTGAAAGAAGAAAAAAATTCCCCATTTCTGCCTTTGGATATCAAAAATTCCACTACTGAAATGCTCTTTATCCCCATCAAGAGATAATAAATCCCCAGCATCCACACAATGCCTGTCACATAGTAGGTGGTCACTAAATAGTTTTAAGATTAGCACAATCCAAATCTGCCATGACCTTGGGCAAATTATCAACCCCTTTGAGCCTGAACAGGGGATAATTATACCTGCTTCCCACAAGCAAGTCCTGAATCACCATATGGGCTAAGAAAATCAGCAAACATCAATTTCCAGCCTTTCCTCTCTTTATGCAAATGACTCTAAAGCTCCTTTTACACTTAGGGTGAAGATTTTAAGCACTTGGCCTTTTTCCTGACTCCATCTGGCAGCTGCAAGGAGGGTGGACAGGTGGAGAGATGGCAATGGTGAACCCATAGGCACTGGGAAGCAGGGGGAGCCTGGAGAGCAACTTGGCCCTGGAGGCAGGTGGAGACAGCCCATACTAATACAGGAAGGAGAGTCCAAAGAGGAGGGATGGGGCTTCCCAGTCTATCAAAGTAGGTTCAAACCCCAGCTTCAGGTTTTACCAGTTCTGTGACCTTGGGCAAGATAATTAGATAGCCGGGAGCCCCAGTTTCCCCATCAGTGGAATGGGCTGGGAGTGTTAAATGAGGTATAGGGTCTTATGTTATTTCACACAGTGCTTGGCCTAGAGTAGGGGTTCAACACCAGGTAGCTTGTTATCAATAACAAACAAGAATAAGAAAAAGGAGGCTCTCTGCTTTCTCTGATTTAATCACTGCATTGGCCCCCTGGATTTTCAGCTGAATCCTCGCTTCATCACACGGCACTCCCTGACTCCATTGGTCTGTCACTGACCCAGGCTTCAATGGGCAAGCTGTGTCCCCAGTGACCCCTGCTGACCCGCCCCATCTGCTGACTCATATTCCTCTGCCCAGAACCCCTACTCCCTCCGAGGACTCTGTCCTCCTCCCCTTGGGGGACACCCGAAACCCCGCCCCTCGCCCACCGACGTAGAGGACTCCCTCCTTGGTCTTCTCTGCTGCTTCGGTGACCCCCTGCTTGGTTTTCTCGGCTGCGGCCACGACGCCCTCCTTGGCCATGGACAGGCCCTTCATGAACACGTCCATCCTGGCGGCCTGGGGAGGACGAACACACAGGAACCGGTGCTCTGGCTCCGCATCCTCACTCCAGCCCCTCCCAAGGGACGTAGGTGTCCCCTCCTCTCCCTCCCTGAGACCAGGGCGCCCTTCTGGTCCCGTATCCTCTCCCACTTCGTCCCAGTCCCCCGTGCGAGGCCTCAGGGCCTCGGTGAGTCCTAGCGTCCTTGAAACCCGGGGACGCGGGAGGGGCCACCGCCTCGGTTATCCGGAGCCCTGCAAGCTGCAGCCCCGCGGAACCGGGATGCTGCGCTCGGCGGCGCGAAGACTCGGGACCTGCCTATACACACAAGACAGTGAGTGACACGGTCACATGCACACAAACATACCACGGACACGCTCACGTGCACATTCAGGACATGTAGATGCTCAAACGCGCACGGACCCCCCGCACACACGGTCGCGGACGCATGTCCACACGGCCACCCAGACAGTTTCAGAGAAGACCCGTCCCCCAGGGTACGTCCACACCAGCCCACCGGTGACCGCCGCACGATCTCCATTTTCCACCCCGTTCCCCATCTCCAGCCCCAGTGAAGAGTCCATCCTTCCTCATCCCACCCGAGGCTCCTCTCCATTCCCGTTCCACTCCCCGGCGCGCGGCCGCCTCACCTGGTTGCGGGGCCCGGGCTGGGGTTGGAGCGGCGGCTGCGGCGGCTGCTGCTAGCAGACGCGGGGGCTCGGCTAGGCCGGGCTGGGGTGGGCTCGGGGCCAGTGGGGGTTCTGGCCGTGATCAGGAGCTACAGTCACGGACCCTGAGCAGGGGCGCAGCGGTGCCCGGGTCTTGGGTGCGTTGCCACCACGGGTGCTCCTAGCGCCCTGCTAGCTCGCGCGCTCCGGCTCCGGCGCTGCGGCAGCTCTGAGCTCAGCGCCCCCCACCGGCGGCCGCGCCGCCCCCTCGGCCTGACTGACAGGGGGCGGGGAGGGTGACATCTCCGCGGAGCCAACGAGCCTCCAGGGACCGGCCTCTGACGCGCCGCTGGGGAACCAGGGTCGTGAGATTCGTGTAGTGTTTTAGGGGTGAGGGAGGAGGGACAATGCGGCGTGCTAAGAGTAGGGAAGAAATAATGCGGTTGGCTTTGAGGTGCAACTGGGTGCTGATCCTAGTTGTGCTTGTTATTTAGCTATGGGATCTTGGGCTGCTTAGTTTTTTTTCTGTAAAATACGGTGGTTAATTCAAAGTATGCTTATTGAGCACTGAGGCAGGGGTGCAGGTTCGAGGGTGGCCACAGGAGGAAAGGAAAACATGATCCCCTCTGTATGTATACGTGCTTGCGCAGATGGGAGGCAGAATGGAAAATAGATGCTTCTGCATCAACTCTTAAACCAAACAAAATCATTTCACAGCTTGTGAGACGTGTTACGAAAATAATAAAATAGTGGCCTAACAGAGTGACCAGAGGAGGAGTGCTTGAGACAGAGTCGTCGGGGAAAGCCTCTGCAAGAAGTTGCATTAGAGCAGAGACCCCAGAGAAACAGCCAGGCCAAAGTGGGTGAAGGCAAGATCTATAGAGAGGGATCTGCAAGTGCAAAGGCACTGAGGTAAGACCTGCTTTGGAACCAGAACGGAGAATGAGAACGTTAAGATTGCTTTTTATGGTGGGGATTGTAAAAGTGGTCATAGAATGCCACAGTAGTCCTCAGTCAGTGCAATGATAGAATTATTTCTAAGAAAATATAGGACTCTCAAGGAAAGGGACTCTGACAGTTTAGGGGGTTCAGGAAAGGCAGCAAAGAGGAGGCAATGTCTGAGTTGGGACCCTAAAGATGAGAAGACAAGGAAGGAAGGGAATTCTAGGCTATGAATATGACATGGCCAAACATACTGTGGCCAGAAATGCAGGGTATATAAGAGGCAGATGATGGGGTTTGGGGGTGGGGATGTTCACAGGACTCTGGTAGGACTGCAAGTTGGCACAGGGTTTTGGAAGACAATTTGGCAATGTTTACCCAAAGCCTAAGTGCATGTTCCTTTTGAGCCAATAGCTCCCCTTCCAGGAATTTATCCTGTGGATCTCTACTCACAAAGTGCACACAGATTTTTGTGCAGGGATGTTCACAGTTTATTGTAGCAAAAGAAAAAAAAACTGGAAAGAATATAAGTGCCCATCTGTAGAGGACTGGCTATTTAATTGGGGTTCAATCACCCAGTGAGATGCTATGCTATGGTTAGAAAGGATGAGCTAGACCCATGTGTATTGATATGGGAATGTGTCAAAATATGGTGTTAGGTGAGAGAAGCAGGATGCTAAACAGGTGTTGAAGAAGCCAAATAAAAATATAATTTTCTACGTCTCAGAATATAATCATATATTAATATATAAGTATATATTGGTATATACACATATACTTATCCCATACTATACATTATACACAGGCACCGTATATACACATACATACATATAGTTGACCCACTGTGTCCAGAGATTTCCCATTTCAGATTCAAACAATTATGGAACGGGGAACTGGGTTTGTGGCTCAGTGGTAGAGCACTTGCCTAGCACATGTGAGGCACTGGGTTGTATCCTCAGCACCACATAAAAATAAATAAAATAAAGGTATTGTGTCCACCTACAACTAAAAAAAATTTAAAAAAATATGGAACAAAAATGATTAGTAAAAAATTGCATCTGTATTAAACACAACGGACATTTTTCTTGTCATTATTCCCTAAACAATACAGTGTGACCACGATTTATGTAGCATTTACATTGTACTGGGTGTTATGAGTAATCTGGTGATGATTTAGAGAGCATGGGAGGATAGTGTAGGTTATATGCAAGTGCTTTGTCATTTTATAGGTCTTGAGCATCTGCTGATTTTGGTATCTACAGAGGGTCCTGGAACCAATCGCCTGCTCAGACCCCCCGACACACACGGGTGCAGACGCATGTCCACACCGCCACCCAGACGGTTTCAGAGAAGAAGACCTGTCCCCCAGGGTACGTCACACCAGCCCACCAGTGCCCCCCTCACTGCCGCACGATCTCCATTCTCCACTCCCTTCCCCATCTCCAGCCCCAGTGAAGAGTCCATCCTTCCTCATCCCACCCGAGGCTCTGAAGAACTAATCTGCAAAGTCTTCCAAAAAAAAAAAAAAAAAAAAAACAAAAAAACAGTAGTTGCCTCTGGGAAGTGTGACTGAGAGGGCTCGAGGAGGGGAACTTTTAAATTTTACCACCTTTCATCTTTGGGCTGTTTTATTCTTTTGCCTTGGAGAGTATTTACCTGTATGATTTTTAAAACTGGCGTGGTAGAAAGCTGGAGTTATTTTTGGCTTTAAGGGAAATTGGATTTTTTCACTTCCGATGTTTGGGGGTGCCCTACCTTAGGAAGCAGGGACTACTTCCCCCTCTGAGGACTGACAATGCCAGATACCTGCTTTCCCAGTCTTCCCTTAGCCCAGACACATGGCTGACACGCAGCCTTCGACCTATCACCCTGGATGGAACCTGAGGCTGGTGCCAGGAAGAAGCACAGAAATTGGCCAGTCTATTCTGATGAGAGGAGGTGGTGTTGGTGGTAGCAGCTTCTGCTGGGAACCATGGGAATCAGTGACAACTGGCTCCCCAAATTCCTGAAGCTTTAACCATTGGTTCCTTGAGCCAGACCAAGCCAAATTATTAGAGTACTGCATCTGGAGTCATATTGGCAGAGAGGTGGGAGCTGTCGCCATGGGAGGCATGGCGATTGTCGGGGGTCTATGGAAAGTGAAAAGAGGAGAGGCCCCCACACAACAGAACCCTGTGGCACTGCAGCCCTAAGGGTGGCCAGAGGCAGAGGAAGCCGGGAAGAGACTGAGAAGTGCAGTGACACAGGCAGAAGAAGTAAAGAGTGACAGCTCAGAGCCTAGGATCTGGAGGTCAGCAGAGAGGACAAAGGAGATGATTCAGCTTTGGATTGACAGCAGGTAGGCTGCTGGGGAGCTTAACAGCAGCACAGGGAGTTACAGAGTCCACAGAGGGAAGGGACACCAAGGGAAAGCCTCTAGGAGAGAGTGACATTCAACGCTGGGATTTGAAAGAGAAGGATCTTACAAGTGGTGCAGAGAGTTCCCAGCGGAGGATCTGGGGAAGTCCAGAGGGCGGAGGGAACGAGAAGAGGTTAGATTCCAAATCAGGTAGGAAGTTTGGTTGCTGGTGCAGAAGCTTAAACAAGGCAGACAGGCATTCCTTCACTTAAAAAAGCCCAGGGGTAGGCAGTCCACAGTGATGTGGCGGCTTCACAGTCATAGGAACCCAGGCTCCTTCTACCCTTCTGATGCAGCCTTATTATGTGAATTTCATCCTCAGGGTCACTTCATGGTTGCTGTGGCTCCGAAATCATCAGCATGACTGTGTGGAAAGCAGGAAGAAGGGAAGATGGATACAAATGAGTATTTCCTGAGGAGTTTTCTCAAGTCAACAACTTCTACTTCTGTCCCCTGGCTAACCGGAGCTGCAGGGAGGCCAGAAGAGGGTGGCCGTTTAGCTGGGCACATGACTTCCAAGAATATAATTGTGAAAAAGGGAGAATGTCTACAGTGAACCACTAGCATCTCTGCCACTGTCTCTTTTTCCCTTATTTTTGGAAATTTCAAACCTAGAGAAACATTGAAGGAATAGTAAATAAAACCTATAGAAAAGTTGCGCCACAAGTATAATAACTACCCCAAACATACTTTGCCTAGATTCACCAATTGTTAACGTTTGCCACCTTTTTCTATCTCTTCATATGTACAGTCCCAAGAAGGGGTCCTGGATACTACGTTGTCACTTTCTAGCACGACAGATTCCCCATGCCACACATCATTAGGGCGCCGGATGGCAAAGGTCAGTCTTCCGGGCCTCTCTTGGTCAGGCCCTTTGCTTGTGAGTTCTCAAGGACGTCTCATTGTTCCTGTTCTCTCTCTCCCTGGAAAATGGCCCTGTGCATCCTTCTCTTTCCTCTCTCCTTCCTGAGGGTGTTCTAAGGAGAATGACTATTGAAGCTTTGGGAGGCAAGAAGAGGGGCAGGATGTGGGGAAGGGCTTGGGAGAAAATCCCAGCTGGAAGAGCAGGAGCAGAGAGCTCTCAGAAGAGAATCGCAGGGATCCTGGCCCTGCCTGGCTTCTGTCAACTGTCTGTGCCTTTGTGACTCTGTGTATGGTGCTTGACTGTGGGATTAAAAATGTATCAACATTCCTGCTGTCCAGAGACCTCAGGATGGGCAGGAAGACGGCAGGCAGGCAGACTGGCACCCTGCAGGGTAGGAAGGATGGGAAGCTCAGAACAGGGAGGAGCATGGATGATGTTTATTGAGCATCTACTGTGTGCCAGGTGCTCCATCCGTGACATCAGTAAGCACTGAAAGCAATCCTTCCAAGCAGGCATGGTCATCTCCATTTTACAGATGGGGGAACTGACATGCAGAGTGGGGAGGCCACTGGCATTTGTTCTTTTCAATCAGTTTTTCCTGAGTGCCCACAAGGTGGGCACTGGTATAGGAAAGTCAGCAGGAAAAAACAAACAAACAAAAAAAAAAATGAAGTCCTTTCTCTTCTGGAACTTAACCTTGTTTTAGAATGGACAGATAATTAACAAATGAATTAGAACCACATGAGACCATTGGGAGCTAGGCACAGTGGCACATGCCAGTAATCCCAGGTACCAGAGAGACTGAGGTAGGAGGGTTGCAAGTTCAAGGTCAGCCTGGGGAACTCAGCAAAACTCTGTCTCAAAATAAATGTTGAAAAAAAGGCTGGGGGAGTAGCTGGGGGGTGCTGGGTTTGTGGCTCAGTGGTAGTGTGCTCACCTAGCTTGTGTGAGGCACTGGGTTCAATCCTCTGCACCACATAAAAATAAAAAATGAAGATATTGTGTCCACCTAAAACTAAAAAATAAATAT